GTGTAGACAGCTGGCAAGTTTTTCCAGAAAAGCGGCTGATTTTCTGGAAAAACTGGCCAATCTGGACACAGCCCCTAAGTTTTATTTGACAGAACAGTTGATACACAATGTAACGAGGTCTCTTTGTGATAGCACCTAAGAACGTGCAAAAATCTCTCTGGAAATATCTTATTTTTAAAGTCTGCAAAGAATTAGTAAAAACAGAAAACAATTGAGCTGATGTAATCAAAAGTAATTGAGTTAGATCCCAGCCTTGGCTCCAGCAGCCAGACACCAGCAGACATGCCCCCTCAATTGTGCCCATTCATAGTTCAGAAAAATGGTATAATTCTGAAGAAATGCAAGCAGCTGATCCCACTGGAGAGAATCAGGGTGACCACCTTCAATCAGGAACAGGTGTCCTGGGCTCTGCTTCAGACCAACTTTAGTTTTGCTTTGGAATGAGAATAGCAGAACTACTCTCTCCTGTGGCAGTGAAGGCAAAACGGAGAAGAGGCCATTCAGCTCACATTACAGGGGTATTTGAGCTCACAGATCAAAACTGGAATTGACCATTGCTAGGCAGCAGCTGTTTGCCTTTCATTGCTTGCTGGGATAAAGTCTGCAACCCCTTGCTCTGGAAGGAAGGTGTAGGAACTGCAGGATTAATGCCAGGGCCTAGTCACAGTTGGTGCCTGCTATACAAGCATGCTCATTTTACTGTTACTTCCTGGCTCCTGCCTGCCTCACCCAGGCACAAGTGTAGGTTATGGCCTACCACTGGAAATGTGTGACCTTCACATGAGTGCATGTCAGCCACCATCTTGGCTACCACAGCAGGGAATGACCTGGGGAATGTCCAGAACCAAAGCTATGAGCTAAAGCTACAGCTTGAAAGAGGCAAGATGCTCTCTTCTGGAGATGTAACAGAGTTCTAATGGTTCTGTATTGGGTTGTTGTAGATCAAGATCTTGTTGTTGTGACAGTAACTGAGCTAGGTCACTAGGGTCAGCCCAGCCGGTTTGGGCTGGTTCTAGTTAGTTCTGTGTTATGAAATAAATGGACACTTGCAACTGCTCAAGCTCTCTAGCTACGTCTACACTGGCATGATCTTGTGCAAGAACTCTTTTGCGGAAGAGTTCTTGTTCAAAAACTCTTCCAGAAGAGAGCGTCTACACTGGCATGTGCATTCGTGCAAGAGGTGAGACGCTGTCTTGTGCAAGAAAGCTCGGATGGCCATTTTAACCATAGGGCTTTCTTGCGCAAGAAATTCATGTTGCCTGTCTATACTGGCCTCTTGCAGAAGAACACTTGTGCAAGAAGGCTTATTCCTGAGTGGGAGATCAGAGTTCTTGTGCAAGAAGCCCTGATTTCATACATTAGAATGTCAGTGTACTTGCACAAGAACTCGCGACCAGTGTAGACAGGCAGCAAGTTTTTGTGCAAAAGCGGCCGCTGTTGCACAAGATCGTGCCAATGTAGACCCAGCCTCTGCGTTTCCAGTGATTTCTTTCTAAACTGTGGAACTCCAAACGA